CGGGGGCGGGACAGTCACCGGGGGCAGGTCAGTCACCGGTGGCGGTTCAGACACCGGGGACGTGTCAATCACCGGGGCGGGCCAGTCACCGGGGGCGGGCCAGTCGCCGGGGGCGGGTCAGTCGCCGGGGGCGGGACGGTCGCCGGGGGCGGGACAGTCGCCGGGGGCGGGACAGTCGCCGGGGGCGGGACGTCGCCGGGGGCGGCCGGTCGCCGGGGGCGGCCGGTCGCCGGGGGCGGCCGGTCGCCGGGGCGGCCGGTCGCCGGGGGCGGCCGGTCGCCGGGGGCGGCCGGTCGCCGGGGGCGGCCGGTCGCCGGGGGCGGCCGGTCGCCGGGGGCGGCCGGTCGCCGGGGGCGGCCGGTCACCGGGGGCGGTCGGTCACCGGGGGCGGTCGGTCACCGGGGGCGGTCGGTCACCGGGGGCAGGTCGGTCACCGGGGGCAGGTCGGTCACCGGGGGAGGTCGGTCACCGGGGGAGGTCGGTCACCGGGGGAGGTCGGTCACCGGGGGAGGTCGGTCACCGGGGGCGGTTCAGACACCGGGAGCGGTTCAGACACCGGGGGCGGTTCAGACACCGGGGGAGGTCGGTCACCGGGGGCGGTTCAGACACCGGGGGAGGTCGGTCACCGGGGGAGGTCGGTCACCGGGGGCGGTTCAGACACCGGGGGCGGTTCAGACACCGGGGGCGGTTCAGACACCGGGGGAGGTCGGTCACCGGGGGAGGTCGGTCACCGGGGGCGGTTCAGACACCGGGGGAGGTCGGTCACCGGGGGAGGTCGGTCACCGGGGGCGGTTCAGACACCGGGGGAGGTCGGTCACCGGGGGAGGTCGGTCACCAGGTGCAAGTAATCCTTGTACTCGGCCTGAAAAACGCAACTGAGCATTTGATGTCATGGAGTGAAAAAGGACAGAGAAATAACTCAGGTTTGAAGGGCGGTATAACAACAACATCAAGAAGTTACAATTACACAGCATATTTCAACAAGAACATTACATTTGTATAGCACCTTTCGGGAGGATGTCCTAAGGCACTGGATTTCGGACCCGAGCTGGGGGTTGGGATTGGGGAGGGTGGGGGGCAGTGGGCAATGGGGGAAGGAGGGTGATCGGAAGCACGGTCAAAGAGGAGGGTCTTGAAATGGGTCTTGAAAGAGGTAAGTAAGGGGCGAGGTGGAGTGACTATGGGATGAAGTTCTAGATGGTAGGGGCAGAGTGGCAGAAGGCCCACCCACCAATGGTGGGGCGAGTGAGGCGGGGAACATGATGCAAGCCAGAGCCCGCTGAGTAAAGGGAGCGAGCGGGATGGTAGGGGGTTAGGAGGTGGCAGAGGTCGGGGGGTGCAAGACCATGGAGGGCTTTGAATGTGAGGACCAGGATCTTGAATTGTATCGTCTGTGTGACGGGAAGCCAGTGGAGTTGGCAAGGATGGGGGTGATAGGGTCACAGAGCCTGGTGGGGCGAGGATGGGGGTGATGGGGGTCACGGAGCCTGGGGTGTGAGGATGGGGGTGATGGGATCGGGGAGCCTGGTTGGGGGTGATGGGGTCAGGGAGCCTGGTGGGGGTGAGGATGGGGGTGATGGGGTGGGGGAGCCTGGTGGGGGTGAGGATGGGGGTGATGGGGTTGGGGAGCCTGGTGGGGGTGAGGATGGGGGTGATGGGGTCGGGGAGCCTGGTGGGGGTGAGGATGGAGGTGTTAGGGTCACAGAGCCTGGTGGGAGTGAGGATGGGGGTGATGGGATCGGGGAGCCTGGTGGGAGTGAGGATGGGGGTGATGGGGTGGGGGAGAGGACACGGGCTGCAGAGTTAGTTCGGGATGATCTGCAGTCTGTGGAGGGAGGGGTTGGGGGCCGACAAGGAGGGAGTTTGCATAGTGGAGTCTGACTGTAATGGAGGGGTGTGTGAGGGTGTCAGGGGCTGTGGTGTGAGACAGTGGGGGAGTCGGGCCATGTTGCGGGGGTGGGGGAGGCAGAGCGGGTCATGGGGCAGATGTGGGGGAGAAAGTATAGTTGAGGGTCAAACCAGACCCCAAGGTTCGGGACTGGCGCAGTGAGGGGGAGTGAGCCCCAGGGATGGTGATGCTGTCAGGGCCTGAGGTGTGGAGGCGCTGACGGGAGCCAATCAGGAGCCTCGGTCTTGTTGACGTTCACCTGTAGAAAGTTTGCCCTCATCCGGGACTTGACGTCTGACAGACATTCTGTCAGGACAGCAGTGGGTCCTGGAGTCAAGGGTAGACTCACGGAAGGTAAGTCAGGCAGAGGCAGGAAGTCATAGGGCTGGTCTCCCAGGGATCGGGACCAGCTTTAGCCAGTGGGGGTTCGAGGTCCCGGGGATGGGGACCGGCAGTAGCCAGAGCGGGTGTCAGGATCCGGCAACAGCTAGTGGTAGGGACGGTATCTTGGGGATTGGGGCCGGCAATAGCTCGAAGCAGAGTCGGGGTCCTGGGGACTGGCATTAGCCAAAGGCAGGGGCCGGTATCTGTAGGCTGGGCCGGGGTCTCGTGGGCCCTGAGGTGGGTGTCTTGGGGTCGGGGTCTCGGGGATCGAGCGTTGGCCATTACCTGGTCAGGGGGAGCCGCCATTTTCGACTTCCAGATTTTCCCACCATTCTGCATGACGTCACTTCCGCCCGCCAGGTTTGAATCCCGTTAGCAGCTACAGCACAGCACAGGACAGGACAGGACAGGACAGGACCGCCTGTACCAGTGTCTCCCTCCCTCCCACCCTCTGTCTGTCTGTCTGTCTGCCTGTTTTCCCTGTCCTTCCCCTACTAACCACAATGAGCGCCCTCCCACCTCTGCACCACCTCACAGCCCCACAGCCTCCTGCAGGCTGACAATGTCTCTCTAAACCCGCCACCTCTCGTCCCAGCGTGCACATCTTGGCTGCCGCCCCCAACCCGAGCTGGCCCTCCCTCAAAATGTCCCTTTCCCTGCAACTCTCCTGCTCTGTCCTGCTCTCTCTACGCCCTCCCCGCCTCCTATCACTGTTTGCCCCTTCCACTGCCTCCCTCTGCTCCAGCCTGGGAATCCTTCGCTCATCACGATGCTGGCTGTCCAGCAGCAGCCACACCAACTGCCCCATTCCCCACTACCCCTGCAAGCCACCCCAGACCCAGACCCTGGGGGCTAACTTCTCCTCCCTCATCTGCAACCCTACCCTCCCTCCCAACCATTCCACTATCCCCTCCCATCCCACACATCCCCTTGCCAACTGTCCGCTCCATCTCCAACAAGACCCTGGCCATCAATGAACTCAACCTCAATGAGAACATTGACATTATGGCACTAACAGAGTCCTGGATCACTCCAGGTGACACCTTCCCCCTCACTGAGACCACACCACCTGGCTACACCTGCCACCATGCCCCGCCCCAATCGTTGTGGTGGTGGTGTGTCCCTCATATTCAGGGCATCACTTGCCCTATCCCCCTACTCCACCGGCTTGTTCCCCTCAAATACCTTACCCTCTGCCATCCCTCCCACCTCTCTCTGAAAATCCTCCTAGTGTACCGCCCCCCAAAATCCTCCCCCACCTGACATCTCCACCCTCTTTGCTTCCCCCTGCCTCTGCTCTGACCACCTCATCATCCTGGGCGACTTCAACCTCCACTTCACCCCCTCCTGCTCCACCTCCTCAGACAAAACTACCGCTCCGCTCCCGCCTCAGCCAAATCATCCTTCTATTCCAGGTTATCTATCCCCAGTGCCTTCGCCGCTTCCTCCCTCTCCTCCTTCAAGGCCGGTCTCAAAACCTTTCTCTTTGACCGAGCCTTCAGCTCCCCTCTCGACTCTCTTCCCCCTTCTCGCTCCCTCCCATCCCTCCCCTCACCCTGACCATTTCCCCCCTCCTCGCTCCCTCCCTTCCCTCCCCTCACCCTGACCATTTCCCCCCTCCTCGCTCCCTCCCTTCCCTCCCCTCACCCTGACCATTTCCCCCTCCTCGCTCCCTCCCTTCCCTCCCCTCACCCTGACCATTTCCCCCCTCCTCGCTCCCTCCCTTCCCTCCCCTCACCCTGACCATTTCCCCCCTGCTCGCTCCCTCCCTTCCCTCCCCTCACCCTGACCATTTCCCCCCTCCTCGCTCCCTCCCTTCCCCCCTCTCACCCTGACCATTTCCCCCTCCTCGCTCCCTCCCTTCCCTCCCCTCACCCTGACCATTTCCCCCCTCCTCGCTCCCTCCCTTCCCTCCCCTCACCCTGACCATTTCCCCCCTCCTCGCTCCCTCCCTTCCCTCCCCTCACCCTGACCATTTCCCCCCTGCTCGGGTCCTGACCCAACTGTGCAGCGCCTTGGGACGTCCTCCTAACGTGAAAGGCGCTTTATAAATGGAATCCTGTTGTTGTTGTTGTTAATCCTAAAGGTGAAGGGAAATCCCTGGCTCCTGTTCTCCACCACTAACCGGCTCCTCCGCCCTCCCCGACACGCCTCGCAGATTCTTTCCTCTGACTCACTGCGAGAAAATGCTGGACTTCTCTCAGTCCAAAATCGAGGGAATCCGCACAGCTGCCATTGCCCTCCCAACTTATATTTCGAGGGGCAAAATCTGGCAGCCAATTGCGAACAGCAGTGTCCCACAAACAGTCATGGATCGAGTGACCAAATTGTTATTTTCTTAAGGGATTATTACCCCCAGAAAAGCGATCTGCCAATCGCCTAACAATTGGGTTCCTATTTATTGCTCGGTTAACAGAGGCGTGTGGATTAACGAAACTTGCCTAATGTTTCACCCTGCCTGGGAATTAAACCCAGGTCCTCGCGCTTGCGAGGCAAGTGCTCTAACCACTAAGCTACAAGACTCCACTAAACTAAATAAAACCAGTAAACAGCTGACTATTACTATTTTTTGAATTTGAAATAGAGTCTCTGTTGCCACGGAAAGGATACTGGAAAATGAGTTAAAGTCATGCACTACTTGCTGTTTTTTTTGACTATGTGATTGACAAACATGAACTTTAACCTAAATCTTCAGTGAAAAAGGAGATTGAAAAACAAGAGAGGTATAAATAGCGGGAGCAGCTCGGAGCTAGTTAGATCTGAAAACAGGAGCAGGAATAAGAACAGAAAACATGAGGAAGAATATGTAAGGACTTCATTCATTAAATCATTTTAACAATATTTGCATGAAACTTCAATAACAAGAGAACTATTTTCAAAGAATGATAGCAAATATTGTTGAAATTATAGTAAACTAAATTGTTTCCCTTGCTTATATGGAATTTTCTTTTATTATTCAGTATTTGTAGCTGTAATTATGCAGTATGAAATATGAAAAATATATATTTTTTAAACTTAGAATATCTTTAATTACTCAGTTGTTGACAATTACTGTATTTGTTGATTTGGCTCATCAATTTAACCTTGGAATGCGATGAGCCGCTTTTAAAATTATTTATCAATTGTTTATCAATTAAAATAAATTTTGCATTTTTTCAAATGTAATTGAATCTCCGAGTAACTAGCTAAAATAATTCTTGCTGTAATATAAAGCTTGTTGGAAAAAGTGGTGTATGCTATCGCAACTGTGCTCGGTAGCAGTGAGTAATATAATCATCCACAAAATACACAGTCATTACACTTTACAGTATATTCTGTGAAGCGCTTTGAGACATCTCAACTACGTGATAAGGTGCTATATCAAATGCAAGGATTATTATTAATATTGTTGTAAGGCAAACCAGATGCAAAAGAGCAACATTGAGCCCAAATAGTTTTATAAAGCACTGGTGCGACTGAACTGTGAATATTGTGTGCAGTTCTGGTCACTGCAACCAAAATGATTGAGGGGATGGAGGGACTTGACTATGAGGAGCGATCAGGTAAACAGTGTACTCACATTGAAGAGAAGATTAAGGAGTGATTTGATTACGGTCTTTAAGATTCTAAAGGGACGAGATAATGTAGACCACGAGAAGCTGTTTTATATCTCGTACTGAACAGTAGAACCAGACAACACGGCCTGAGATTAAAAGGGGGTAAATTCAGAACAAATCTGCGGAAACACGACTTCGGGGAGCGAGTAGTAAACGTATGGAACAGGTTCCCTCGGGAGACAGACGGTGGAAGCAGAAAATGTTGTTTGTTTCAAGAACAACAACAACAACAAGATTCCATTTATAAAGCGCCTTTCACGTCAGAAGGACGTGCCAAGGCGCTGAAGTCCCAAGTCCCAAGAACAAATGAGATAGATTTCTGTTAGAAAATAATATCTCAGGATACAGTATACAGTTTGGGACATGACATGTCAAGCAACTACCATAATAATAATAATCCTTGCATTTGATATAGCGCCTTATGTCTTCAAGACGTCTCAAAGCGCTTCACAGAATATACTGTAAAGTGACTGTATATTTCTGGGCAAAATGCAGCAGCCAATGGGGGAAGGTGAACTGGGTGGACCTTGGTCTCTTTTGCCAGCAAATTCTTATGTTCTTATGTTCTTTAGTGACAATTTCTTATCACTATAGTAAATTTGATCTGATGCTTTTGTTTATTCTGACTGTAATGGTCTAATATACACTGATTGCTTGAAGTAGCAGTCTCGCCACAAAATCTTTATAATGGAAAACCACACGAATAGTTGGTAACAACAAATTTGGGATTTCAAAGCCATAATTTTAAGAAAAAGGAAGAAGGGGTTGCGGTGTATTCCAGCAGTTACCCCAACACACACTCTGGGGTTCCCAAGCCTTGGATCTTGGCAATCTGCGCCTAATACTCTCCAGAATTAGGTAAGCAGGATACGTCCCTCCAGGGAGAGAATGAGCATTCCATTTATTGTAATAATAATCCTTGAATATAGAAATTCCCCGTGCATGAAATAGAATGTGCACTCTCTCTCCTTGTGGAGGAATAAATCAATAAATAATCCTTGCATTTGGTATTGCGCTTTATCACTTCTTCAAGACGTCTCAAATTCCTTCACAGAATCTACTTTAAAGTGAACTGTTTATTTTGTGAGCGAAATGCAGCTGCCAATTGCGCACAGCAGTGTTCCACAACTAGTTATGGATTGAGTGACCAATTTTTTAAAAATATATTTGAAATATTGAAAAAAAAAAATTTTAAACTTGTAATATGTCAGGAATTTTCATGTGTAGGTGGGATGCATGGAATTCTCAGTTTGGGTTGGGTAATCTTAAGTTTGGTGATGGGTTTCCACATGTGGCTGACCAAAATAGTGGAATAAAATGGGTGATTTTGAACTTAAAATCTTAATTGGGATAAGGGATATGATGTAATCTTATTATCTGAAATGTGGCTTCAGATATTTAAATGGGATTTATAGGGCATCTTAGAAAGGTGTGCTCTGTAAGAACAAGGTGATAATAACTGGGGACTTTAACTATCTGAAGATTGATTAGGACATGGAAAGTAATGAGGTACAAAATGGGGTTGTAATTTTAGAGTGCGTCCAAAATTACTTTCTAAAGCAATTTGTAGAAAACCCAAAAAGGAGAGTAACAGTGCTAGATAATAATAATCCTTTCATTTGATATAGCGTCTAATTACATCTTCGAGACGTCTCAAAGTGCTTCACAGAATATACTGCAAAGTGAATTGACTGTATATTTTGTGGGTGAAACGTGGCAGCCAATTGCACACAGCAGTGTCCCACAAACCATCGTGGATTGAGTGACCAAATTTTTAAATTTCTTTTATTATTATTATTTCAATTCCAAAAAATAGCAGGCTCCGGCACCTCCTTTTCTTTTTAATTACCTAGCTTTCAAAAGGGAATTGGATATGTACTTAAAAAGGAACAATGTGCAAGGCTATGGGGTAAGAGCAGAATAGCTCTTTCAAAGAGCACGATGGGCCAAACGGTTTCCTTCTGGGCTGTAAGATTCTATGATTTTAAGACATTTGATGTAATAGCAATATTGTTCAAAATAAGATCTATGAAAACTGTGTTTATTATTTCTTATTTTAGCCAAAGCCCTGGGCATTAATGCCAACCAGCCTGGGTCTCGCTCTGACTCTCTGCCTACTCCTGCTGGGGTGGGTGGAGGGTCAGGTAAACGGAACACAGTGTACCAAGCCACCACAATGGAGGATTGGAGAGAATTACCCAATGAAGAACGCTCTGGGTACTGTGACAGTGGTAGTACTTTTCCAAGCGAGCTGACAGTTATGTCAAAAACAGGCACCCAGGTAAGAAGTGAAAACTATAAGGTCCTTTTTACCAGTTATAAACTGTAATCTTGTCTCTGATATTGGTTTTACATCATATTAAGTTAATTATTGGAGTGCAGATTGTAACCATGTCTCTCTTGTTGTTGGTTTTATATTATATTTTATTATATAAAGTTTATTATAGTTTTTTTAATAAATTATTATCTAATAATTGTTGGAATACAAATTGTAACCCTGTTGTGTCAGTTTTTATAACACCGTATTGTATATTTTATTATTTTATATGATTTTATATTGTATATTTATATTATTGTATTAAGACTGTTTGTGGGACACTGCTGTGTGCAATTGGCTGTCGCCTTTTACCCTCAAAATACAGTCACTACGCTTTATAGTATATCCTATGAAAGCTTAATGACATGCCAATTCACAAACCTTGGGACATTTCCATTATATGCTTCCAAAAAGAAATCAAATATATTCATCTACCAAATCTCAAGTGACAACTGCTAACTCAAAATTCTCCCATCTACTACAGAGACGTACATAGATGGCCCAAACTCAAAACAAATACTAATTAATTTAACCTTTAGAATATTGGCAGGTTACAGAGACTTGTGGGTATCTCACAAATTTACGTGATACATGCGCGTTATCAGAAGGTCCCTTCATTCAAATTCCTTAAGAAATTCCATTTGAAATTGTTGCATGGTACATCATTTAGATCCATGTTGGTTTTAAGTTTGTATACTAACCAAAAAACTGTAAAAAAATGATGAGGAACGATTAGATAAACTGGGTGTGTTCACACTGGAGAAGAGAAGGTTGAAGGGTGATTTGATTATGGTCTTTAAGATTCTAAAGGGACTAGACCACGTAATGTAGACCGTGATAAGCTGTTTTATCTTGTACTGAATAGTAGGACTAGAGGACACCGTCTGTGATTGAAGGGGGTAAATTCAGAACAAATCTGCGAAACTACTTCAGTGAGCGAGTAGTAAACGTATGGAACAGGTTCCCGAGGGAGACAGACAGTGGAAGCAGAAAGTGTTGTTTGTTTTAAGAACAAATGAGATAGATTTCTGCTGGGAAAATAATATCTTGGGATTTAGTATATAGTTTGGGCCACGACATGTCAAATGACTGCCAGGATGGTGGAAGGCAAACTAAATGGACCTTAGTCTTCTTTTGCCAGCAAATTCTTATTGTCTTATGTTCTTAATCTTAACCACCATTACTTTAACTAGATGCTTAATTATATTGAAAGTTGGATCTTTATCTCTGATCTTTAACCCAGTTTATAATTTCAGATTGGATAGCCTGCGAAAAAATCTGACAAATGCTGGCCTGGTGAACATCTCTTACTTAATAGTAAACCATCAAGAGAAGCTTTCACGTGACCTGTATCAGAATTTCACTGATTTAGTGTCTAGGGATATTCCTGTGTATCAACAGAATGTTCATCAGCCTAATATCTGGAAGCTCTTACAAGGGGTTACAGATGACTTTCTGATCTATGACAGGTATGTAATTCCACTCAGTTATTTGTTGTGAGATACATGAGAACTCTTGACATTGTGCCTCTTCCTCAACATAAGTTTCATTAAACAACATCTTGGATTCATATAGCTCCCTTCACACAGGTAGTGTCTCAGAGTGCATTGAATTATATTTGTATAACATGTTTCATGTCGGAAGGGCGATGCAAGGCACTGGACAGTTAAGGGTTTGCATCCAAGCTGGAGGATGGAAACAAGAGGGGTGGAGTGTGCGTGTTGATGGTGACGGGAGGGAGGCTGAAGTCACAGTCAAAGAGGAGTCTTGAGATTTTGATATAGCCTTAGCACATCTGCGCGACATCTCAAAGCGCTTCACAGAGAATAGAAAATAATATCTTGGGATACGTATATAGTTTGGGACAATGGCATGTCAAGCAACTGCTAGGATGATGGAAGGCAAATTAGATGGACCTTGGTCTTCTTTCACCTAGCAAATGCTTATGCTCTTATATACTCTAAAGTGAATTTACTGTACATTTTACCCAGCAGCCAATTGTATTGACCAGAATAATTTCTTTCAGTACTGAAAATTTATGTTTGACAAAACTTATGACTGTGAAAATAACATACTTTACATGTTGTTCATGGCTTCTTCACAGATGTGGCCATTTGACCTACCACCTGGGTCTGCCCTACACCTTACTAACCCTACCATATGTGGAGACTGCAATTAGGATGACTTACTGTCAAAATATCTGCAGTGGCTGCTCTGTAATGGTAAGAATCAATCAATACGTTTTAAGTTTAATATTATTCAATGATGTGAATTGGAACATTTATGTGTGGAATACTCAGTGGTTTGGATTGCAGACTCTTAAGCATGGTGATGGTTTCTATATACTTTAGCCTGAGTCAAATACCGGGCTGTCCAAATATAAATCGAATGGCCAATGCACAAGTCTGCCTCAGAATGGTCTTTTATATTGGCATAAACTAGGACAATGGGTGTTTTTAAAAAAATCACAATCTTAACCTTTATAGTTTTGTACATCAGATAGACTAAGCTTTGAAAATAATAATAATCCTTGCATTTGATATAGCGCCTTATCGTGTTTTTGAGATATCTCAAAACGCTTCACTGAATACACTGTAAAGTGAATTGACTGTATATCTATGGATGAAATGTGGCAGCCAATTGCACACAGCAGAGTCCCACAAACAGTTGTGGATTTAGTGACCAAATTATTTATTTATTTTTAAAAGGGATTATTACCCCCGGAAAAGCGATTCGACAATCAACTAACAACCGGGTTCCTATTTACTTGCTGGGTAAACAGAAGTGTGTGGAGTAAGGAACCGTTTTGCCCTGTCTGGGAATTGAACCCAAGTCCTCTCGCTTGCGAGGCGAGAGCACTAACCCCTACACAAAAATATAGTCAATTCACTTTGCAATATATTCTGTGAAGCGTTTTGAGATGCCTCAAAAACATGATTAGGTGCTATATCAAATGCAAGAATTATTATTATTACATTATTGGACTCCACTGTGGTATCTTACATTGGCATAATCCAGGGCAAATAAACATTATTTAAAAAAATCACAATCATTACCTTTATGGTTTTGAATATCAGAGAGAATAAGCTTTGAAAAGCTTATGCAGTGAAAAGCTTATTAAGCATGTGAAAGGGTTTGAAATGTCATTTGCTTATACCCACAGCAATATGTTGAAGCATGTAACTCAACAAGTGCAACAGAAGAAAACACTGCTGACAAAACAGTACAGAATCATCGTCGTGGAGTAGTTAAATCAGTGAATAAGGCTGATGCTCAACCTGATAGTGGCCTCAACACACATACACAACTTCTGTTAAACATGACTGGGCCAGGCGAAGAGCAAGATCCCCACCGAAGGCGGCAGCACCGCCATCATCAACGTCATCACAAGAACCATCACAACAACTCAGGTCATCGAGAGGAAAGTATGGCAGGAACAAGTGATGGACCAACAGCCAACAGCCCCAGAGTACAGCGGAACCAGCATAGTCTACAGATACGCCCTTGAAGAGTAATGAAATTCAAATGTATACCAGAAGTGAGGTCAGAGGTAGCTCCAGTCAGCTGAGCCTGACACTGACGTCAGCTGTTTGGGAGCGACCTCTCACACAATGTGGTCACCTGACAGTGCCGCAAAACCCACCTCCCATCATCCTGATGGTGACAGCAGCCAAAGTCTGAAGGCAACGTTCCTGAGGTTTGACAGTGACGCTCGCTCTCTGCTGCCAGTTGACCAGAAAATAGTCAGAGCTAAATTACACAGACAAGCCCGACATTTTAACACTTGATTGTGACCAATGGAGGAATAGGAAGCACTTGGTTTGGAACGTTTATTTTCAATGTGAAACAGCTTTCTTTTATGACAGTTTGAAGCCAAATATAAAATCATAAAATCTTCACATTTCACAATGTAATTACTTTGAATAAGACACAAACAGAAATCTACGGTATTTTTAAGTACAGTCTGTCTGACTGCTATCGTATTAAATGCTTTGATTATAGTTTGACCTTAGATGTCCCAACAGCAATTAATAAATATGGCAAATCTGAGAATTAACCCACAACAATGAATGGCTTTTACATCAAAATACAGAATTGAACTTCCCATTTCAAATTGCAACCCTTCCCCAGGTTTAAAGTGCTTTACAATTCCTGATCTAACAACACGAGGGAGAATATGTTACCTAACAGTATTATGGACATTCAGTGTTAATTCGGGATTAATTATTGCCACTGTTGCTTTTCTTCCAACTATTCTGGTTGCATTTGTGAGGACCTCAGCACAAACTACCCAGTAGGAGCTGCTGTCTGATGTAAGGCAAACACAAATGGAAAAAAAAGTGAAGTGGGAAAGCTAATCGACTAAATGGAGAACAACTGGAAATATTTCGAACAGGGAGTTTTATAAGCTTTCAAAAGCAAACATTACAAAACACTTTTTCTGAAAGAAAACTTATATTCTTAAACATTGGCTGCAATCTTAAAGCAACAAAATAACAGTTAATTGAAGTTTTCCTTTACATGACCTATGCTTCACCTACATTAACATGTTTTGGCCTCTATCAATTTGGTTTCCCCGCTGTAAAAAGGGAATCTTTCTTTACTTTGTCTTCCTGTGACTTTTCTCTCCATTGGCATCACAAGAAAAATATCTATGTTTTAAATGAGAAAATATGTTTTACTTAATCAGGGAAATACATCCAGTTTAACCTGTGATGAGGTGTAGAAGTAAAATAACAAGAAGACAAAAGCCTTTCCCATAGAAATGAAGGTGAAGGCAGTGAAATCACCATGTTTAATACTAAAATGTGTTTCCAATAACTGCATTTTCATTCTACTTAAAATTACTAAGCAATCAAAAAACACTGCTTTTTTTTAAAGTTTATGAATCAGAAACCAGTAGGCAGTGATTATTCTTATTAATTTGCTTCTTGTTTTGCTTCTGGTATGTCAGAATGAAGATGAAAGGTTATTACAGTTTGTTTGGAATCAGGCATCATACTCCATGATGGTGACTAGGAAATCCATTGACCCTAGTTAATCTGAATCTCTGTATGATAAATGCTGCCAAAATAGAAGTTGGGACAGATTTTCTAAACGTTTGTAACATACTAGAACACTTCTGTAGGAAGGTTTTAATAAACATTCAATTTGTAATATTCAGTGGGAGTCCTGTTTGATGTCTGTTTAACCAACACTACAACAACTAAATTACACTTGTAAAGTGCCTTTCACATCGGGAGGACGTCCCAAGGCGCTGGACAATCATGTTGAATAACTCCACACTCAGTGTCACCCACTCCACTGAATTTTACTTCCTTCAAACAGCAACTGTGATCTAAATATCTTTATGTGGTGCATCTTACATTTTAACTTATTCAACAAATATACACGTGGCCTCCAAGGAGCTGAACAGTGCAGTGCCACAACCACCTCTTTTAGTTGAACAAAAATAATTTTGTGTTAAAATCTTCGTCGCTTAAGACGATTGTCCTGGCTGCCACTCAGTTGTTGTTCAAGCTCCTGGATGGTCTGGCGAAGGGCTGAGATTTCTCGATTTTTCTCCTCTTGCAGGTGCATCAGCTTCTGTTAAAAATAGAAACACCCCAATATTTCCCCTACAGGCGACTTACACCCTAGTCCAAGCCTTGAGAGACTTGCTTGCAACTGATAAAGAATGACAACAACTTTCATTCATTTATATGGCATCCTTCATGCTGGATAGTATATTGGAGCCTGAAACTAAAGAACTTAAAATCAAGCACATTCTCAATATTTGCTATAAATTTGATGATGGAAAAGAGCTGTAACAGGGGGCAGAGAGGCATCCCACTCAGCTCCTGTTAACCCTGCAAGCCAAAGCCCCAATGGGTAGGGTAGTCCTAGCTGGATAAGCAGTGGGGAAGTTTACCAGACAGTGATATCAATGGCAAGCTATGTATTTTTAGCTGGTTAGTCTCCAACAGTTTCCCTAACACAGAATTGGTGCTCTCCAAGCATTGGCGCTTGACAATCTGCGCCGAACACTTTCCGGAATTAGATAAGCAGGATGCATCCCTCTAGAGAGCGCATTTCATTCCAACAATCGACCTTTGGAATTTCCTTGTGTTGGTGGGATGCATGGAATTCTCGGGATTGGTTTGGATACTCTTAAGCATGGTGACGGTTTCCGCACGTGTCAAAAATAAAATCGCCAAAGTCATCTGTAGACATGGGGTGAACTTCCACATGCACGTGGATGACACCCAAATCTACCTCTCCCCCTGCAGACATCAGGGCCTGGATGAGCACAAAATTCCTGCAGCTGAATGTTGAAAGACGGAAATCATATTCCTTGGCTCCCGTCAACGTCTTCTCTCCTGCGGCTCTGACCTCCTCAACTTCCCCGGCCTTTCCCTGAGATTTACCGAATCTGTATATAACCTGGTCAGCATCTCAAAACGCTTCACAGAATATATTGTAAAGTCAATTGACTGTATATTTTGTGGGCAAAATATTATCTAACCACTTGGGACATCCTTCCAATGTGAAAGGAGCTACATAAATGTAAACTTATTGTTCCTCTTTGATGTGCCTACGGTCACCTCTCCCCGCGCCTTCCCCTTGTTCGGCATTGTGTTCTGCCATTGTCAGGCGCTCTGGGACTCTGCCCTGCGTGAGGGGCACTATATAAATGCAAGTCATTGTTATTGTTCCAGCATCATCAGACACACTGTTTTCTTGACACATCAAGTTATTGTTATTCTGTACTTTATACATACAGGAAATTTAGAATATTTTTTATAACTTTAAAGACCAAAGAAAATCAGTACTTTTATTCCTCTGGATTATTCCTCTCCATTTTAGTTTTTATAGATAATATGTACAGAATATATGAAAGCAATTGACAGAGAGAGGAGAGAAATTTATCTAAATGAAAACAATTTCTGCTGTTCATCAAAAGAAAAAACATTATATCTAAATAAACCAACACTCGATCTGATGTATCGTTTGTGGACTCACCCTCTTGAAGATATTCTGTGGCAGTGCAGAGGAATCCTGGTGTGGTGATTTCACTGACGTGCTCTGGATTCGCACCAGCTTGGAGTTAAACTGCATGAATGACACAATACTTATGAAAGGTATTCATCTAACGGTTCTATCTAATTTGCAGATGCTCTTGAAATAGATATAGCCAAGAGATAGGGAAAACCCATTTTCAGTTTGATTGTAGCTGTAATGGCCATCCTTGGTCAAAAGTCTATTACACCCAATTAAATAATATCCTATACAACATTATATTGACTATTTTACAGTGATGTTCTTGGAAAAATACTGAGTTTCCGATGTGAAAAGGTCTGTAACGTGAACTTGTTGTTGTGGTAGATTTTCTGACATATTTACTGTGGATTTGATATGAGCTTTCAAAAGGGAATTAGAATAGGTACTCTGGAACTTTCTCCCTTAATCCCTCTACCTTTCCCACTCTGTCTCCACCTTCAAATCCCGCCTAAAGACCTTCCATTTTGATCATGCTTAAGTAAGGTCACCTCCCCCCTCCCTCTCCCCCTGGCTCGGTGTCAGACTCTGCTCCAGGAAGTTACCCCGTGTGACGGAGGCTATATAAATAATAATAATCCTTCCATTTGATACAGCGCCTTACCATGTCTGAGACATCTCAAAGCGTTTCACAGGATATACTGTAAAGTGAATTGACTGTATATTTTATGGGCGAAATGGGGCAGCCAATTGCGCAAAGCAGTGTTCCACAAACAGTCATGGATTGAGTGACCAATCCACAAATATAATATAAATATAAATGCAAATTGTTGTAGATACTTAAAAAGGTAAAATTTGCAAGGCTCTGGGGTAAGAGCGGGGGAGTGAGACTAGTTGGCAGCTCTTTCAAAGAGCTGGCACAGGCACGATGGGCCGAATGGCCTCCTTCTGCGCTGTAAATCATTGTTTTTGAAATTGGAGAAAGGTATACGGTATACGGTGTCCCCCAGCAATCAGTATTAGGACCACTGCTCATTTTGATATATTAATGACTTGGACTTGGGTATAAGGAGCATAATTAAGTTTGCATGACACAAAACTTGGGAACGTACTAAACAGTGAGAGGGATGGTAGCAGACTACAGTAGGACATAGACAGACTGGTGAAATGGAGACAATACAGAGAAGTGTTAGGTAATGCATTATGAGAGGAGGAATGAGGAGAGGCAATATAAGATAAATAGTACAGTTTTGAAGGGGTGCAGGAGCAGAGACAGCTAGGAGCTCACAAACATAAATCTTTGAAGGTGGCAGGACAAATTGATAAAATCGTTAAAAAAGCATACGGGATCGTTGGCTTTATTATTATTATTTATTAATAGCGGCATAAGCAAGGAAATTATGCTAAACCCCAATAAATCACTGGTTAGGCCTCAACTGGAGTATTGTGTTCAATTCTGGGTACCACACTTTAGAAAGGATGTAGGACCTTGGAGAGGAGCCAACGGAGATTTATCAGAATAATGATACCAGAGATGAAGGACTTTAGTTATGTGGAGAGACTAGAGAGGCTGGGATTGTTCTCTGTAGAGCAGAGAAGGTTAAGGTGAGATTTAATAATGTTGTTCAAAATTGCGAATGGTTTTGATAGAGTAGAGAGGGACAAACAGTTTACTCTGGCATGTGTATTGGTAACCAGAGGACACAGATTTAAGATAACTGGCAAAACAACCAAAGGGGAGACGAGGAGAATTTTTTTTTATCCAGAGAGTTGTCACGATCCGAAATACACTGCCTGAAAGTCTGATGGAAGCAGTTTCTGTAGTAGGTTTTAAAAGGGAATTGGAAAGGTACTTGAAAAGGAAGAATGTGCAGGGCTTTGGGGTAAGAGTGGGATTAGCTGGCAGCTCTTTCAGAGCCGGCACAGGCACAATGGGCTGAATGGCCTCCTTTTATGCTGTGAGATTCTATGATTTCATGTTAATTGTTGTTCTAAAAAAAATTGCAAAGGCTTCAAAATTAAGACAGGATTGAAGAATTTTCCAGGGTACCAAAACTTATTTTTTGCAGACTGATCAGTGGTTACCTAATTGTAATACATCACCTACCAGCAACATTAACAGTGAAAGACTGAATTAACATTCTAGAGATCATTGCATTTCAGTACCTCCATCTGTAGCTTGATGATCTCACTCTGTTTCTCCCTCTCCTGAAAACGGAGCTGTCTGTTCAGTTCCAAAATCTCTGTTTGCTTTTTGTCAATTATGCCATTGATCTCAGTCTCCTTTATTTCAACTGTTAAATCGTGAAAACATACATAAACACGACACAGGTGGAGTGCATGTGACAATTAAGGATTGTTGTAGATCATCAACAATAATACTTCCATTTGATATAGCGCCTTGCCACATCTTCGAGACGTCTCAAAGCGCTTCACAGAATATACTGTAAAGTGAATTAACTGTATATTTTGTGGGCAAAATGCAGGAGCCAATTGCTCACAGCAGCGTCCCCACAAACAGTCATACACTGAGTGACCAAATTATTATTTTTTTTGAAGGGATTATTACCCTTGGAAAAGCGATCCGCCAATCGACTAAGTAAGGTTCCTACTTACTGCTAGATAAACAGGTGCATGGAGTAAGGAAACTTGCCTAACGTTTTGCTCTGCCGGGAATTGAACCCAGGTCCTCTCCCTTGTGAGGCGAGTGCTCTAACCACTGCTCTACAGGACTCCACCTTCATTTTTTGGGGAGGGGGAGTTCCAAGTTAAAAGGTGTTAGAAGGTACAACCCTGTAGAAAGCCACATATCAGCGCCTTGGGACTTCCTCCTGACGTGAAAGACTCTATACAAATGTAGTATTGTACTGTATCCATAAGCAAACTATTGCAAATGGCATCATCAGCATTCAGCTCTGAAGTAATTGCAATAAGGAAACAAATGCTGTGGGGCAGCGTTTGAACAGATTTCGAGGGGTGTTGGGCATCAGAATGTAGCATCAGGAAGGGGAAACGAGTTACATAGTGGACAAGGAGAGACAAATAGAAATGAAACAAGGAATAGTCCAGCAAAAAGTGGAAAGAGACGGGGGAGAAATGTAGAGCGGATTAAGCTGGTATTGGAGTGCATGTGTGTAAATGAACAGAGAGTGATCAATAAGCTTGGTGAGCTGCGGCTCAAGTTGCCACATGGGGCAATTACAGAGACTTGGCTCAAGTAAGGACAGGAATGGGAGCTGAATATTCCCGGCTACAACTTATTCAGGAGGGATAGGGAAGAGAAAAAAGGAGGGCTGGCAATACTAATTAGGGACACGGTCACGGTCCTGGAAAAGGACGATGTGTTAGAGGGTCCAAAAACTGAAACTATTTGGTTAGAGTTAAGGAACAGAAAAGGAGCTGTTACTCTGTTAGGTATTTACTATAGACCTCCAAATAGTGGGAAGGAAATAGATGAGCAAATCTGCAAGCAGATTTCGGAGAGATGCAAAACCAACAGAGTAGTGAATAATTATTATTATTGTTATTATTATAATTATTCAATTATAATAATAACAATAATAATAATAATCCTTGCATTTGATATAGTGCTTTTCACATCTTCTAGACGTCCCAAAGCGCTTCACTGAATATACTGTAAAGTGAATTGACTGTATATTTGTGGGCGAACGCGGCAGCCAATTGCGCACAGCAATGTCCCACAAACAATCGTGGATTGAAAATGACCAATTTATTATTGTGTTTTTTTTGGAGGGATTATTATTAGGCTCTGTGTGCAGTAAGGAAAATTGCCCAAGGTTTGGCCCTGTCTGGAATTCAACTCAGGTCTCTCGCTTGCAAAGCGAGTGCTCTAACCACTCAGCTACAGGACTCCATTATCCTAACATAGACTGGCAAAATAACAGTGTAAAGGGCAAGGAGGGGGAGGAATTCCTGAAATGTGTGCAGGATAACTTTCTGGATCAGTATGTTCCCAGCCCAACGAGGAAGGAAGCAGAGCTGGATTTAATTCTGGGAAATTAAGTGGGCAGATTTCAGTAGGAAATCATCTGGATAACAGTGATCACAATATCATTAGGTTTAGAATAGTTATGGAAAAGGACAACAATCAATCAAAGGTAAAGTCCCTCAACTGGAAGAGGCTAAAAAGGGACCTGGCCAAGATAGATTGAAAAGAAAGATTGGCAGGTAAAACAGCAAACTAACAATGGGAAGCCTTCAAGGAGGAGACAGTTTGGGGACAGAACAAATACATTCCCACAAAGGGGAAAGGTAGGACAGTCAAACCTGCCTGGATGACTATGGAAATTGGGATTAAAATAAAACAGAAAAAGGAGGCTTATGATAAACGTCAGGTCCAATCAAATCAAACAGGATAATCAAATACAACAACAACAAAATTACATTTATAGAGCGCTTTTTATGTCGGGAGGACATCGCAAACTGGTGAGGAGTCAAAAAGCAGAGAGTGGTAGTAAACGGTTGCCTTTCTGACTGGAGGGAGGGGTGTAGTGGTGTCCCTCTGGGGTCGGTATTGGGACCACTGCTCTTTCTGATCTATATTAATGATCTGGACCTGGATATACGGAGCACAATTTCCAAATGTGCAAACTAGGAAAAATCAGTTAATGGTGAGGAGGATAGCACCAGCCTCCAAGAGGACTTAGACAGATTGGTAAAATGGGCAGAAACGTGGCAGATGAGGTTTAATGTGGAGAAATACGAAGTGTTGCATTTTGGTAGGAAGAATGAGAGGCAATATAAGCTGATGGTACAACTTTAAAGGGGGCAAATGAACAGAGAGACCTGGGGGTCCACATCAGCAAATCTCTGAAGGTGGCCGGACAGGTAGATAAAGCTGTTAAAAAAGCATCCGGGATACTCGGCTTTATAAATAGGGGCATAGAATTCAAAAATCAGGAGGTTATGTTGAATATTTATAAAATGCTGTTAGGCCTCAGTTGGAGACTGCGTTCAGTTCTGGGCACCGCACTTTAGGAAAGATGTTCGGGCATCGGAGAGGGTGCAAAGGAGGTTTACCCGATGGTACCAGGAAGGAATGACCTTAGTTATGAGGAGAGTTTAGCAAAACTAGGATTATTCTCCCCGGAGCAGAGAAGATTAAGAGGGGATTTAATAGAGGTTTTCAAGATCATGAGAGGATTTGATAGGTTGAACCGGGAAAAGCTATTTCCGCTTGTGTGGGTCAGTAACCCGAGGACACCGATTTCAGATAGTTGTTAAAAGAAACAGAGGGGCGATTAGGAAAGATGTTTTCACCGAACGAGGTGTTGGGATCTGGAATGCATTACCTGAAAGGGCAGTGGGAGCCGATTCAATAACAACTTTTAAGAGAGAAATAGATGGGTATTTGGGCTATGGAGAGAAAGTGGATTGAGTTGGAAGCTCTTTTAGGAGCTGGCGCAGACACGATGGGCGAATGGCCTCTTTCTAAGCTGTATGATTCTATGATTTTAAGTAAAAGTTCAATGCCAGCAAAGAAAACTTATAATAATAATCCTCACATTTTCTATATCGCCTTTCATGTTCGGAGGACATTTCCAAGCGCTTTACAGGATATGTTGCAAAGTTCAGTGACTGTGTGTTTTGTGAGCGAACATGGCAGCTTTGCACACAGCAAAGTCCTACAAACAGCCATGGAGTGAGTGACCAATTTTATTTCAGGGACTGTTGGCCATGACACTGGGAGAAACTCCCTTTTTCCCCCAATAGTGCATGAGATCTTTAACATCCACTTGAACAGACAGATAGCGCCTTTGTTAAAGTCCTCTTCTGAAGAATGGCACCTCCAACAATAAAGCATTAAATCGGAGTGCCAAAGGGTAATATGAGTTCCAAGTGGGGCTTGAACCCAAAAAGGAGTAACCTCTTTTCGAAGAATACAATAGGATCTTTAATACCAAATACTAGAATTAGATCAATTTATGTTTCCTAGCTGCTTTCTGAGATACACTGACATTTACTATCCCTATACTTTGACAATAGGCGTATTACTGGCTTGCTGTGTTTGATACACTGACATTTCCAATATGTTAACAGTGATAATATCTATTTATTTCTATTGTACGTACATTTCCTGCTTATGTCCTGTTGAATTTCTGCAAGCTCTACCTTGTGTTTCTGTTCCATTGTTTTCATCTCTGTCACCAACATCTCAACACAGCTTTTCTTCTCCTTTAACCACAACAACAAGATTACAAGTATAGGACCTTTCATGTCGGGAGGCTGTCCCAAGGCGCTGGATGGTCAGGGATTTGGACCTGAGCTGGAGGTTGGGATCAGGAGGTGTGGAGGGTAGAGAGGCCAGGGTAGGAGGGTGACTGAAAGCGTGGTCAAAGAGGAGAGTCTTGAGACGTGCCTTGAAGTGGAAGGGAAGGAGCAAAGCGAAGGGACTGTGGGTTGGAATTCCAAAGGGTGGGGGCAGAGAAGCTGAAGGCCCGAGTGCCAATGGTGGGGCGGGCTGGGTGGGGGACATGGAGCAGGCTGGAGCCAACTGAGTGGAAGGAGGGGACAACTTGATAGGGCATTAGCCGTCACAGAGGTAGGAAGCAGCAAGGCCGTGGAGGGGCTTGAAGGCGAACAAGAAAATTCTGAACTCAACAACACCAACTTGCATTTATATAACTCTATGCTCTATGCATAACCTCATCCTGGATGAGCACATTGATATTATTGGGCTCATAGAAACAGAATCCCGGACCCTCTAGTGTAGGTGGCAGAAATCCAGCCTCACAATTCACCACCAGCTGTGGCTCGAGCACCTCCACGCCCACCAGCTCTCCCTTTCACAGCCCACAGCTGACTTCTACTCCAAAGTCATGCTGGAGGCAAACAACAATCCAAACACTCTGTTTTCCACCGTCCATCTGGGGGAGCTCTGTTCACAGATAGAGAGGGCTTGAGGGGGTGCATCTTCTTTGTGCACTCCTTCAAGCCCCCTCTATCCTTTCATCAAACGCCAAGTGCAAAGAGGCCCTAGACTTTTTCTCCTCAAAGATTGAAAACATCCGCTTGCCTGAATCATCCTCCCCACTCCCACCATGTCCCTTTCCACCCCACCCAGACCATCCACACCGCCTTCTCCCTCTGCCACGACTCCTGCCACTGCCCCCACTTTTCCCATTAGAGCAGAGATGGTTACGCGGGGACCTGATAGAGGTCTTCAAGATCACGACAGGCAAGATAGGGAAAAGCTGTTTCCGCTGGTAGGTGTGTCTGTGACTCATGGTCACAGTCTTAAGATATCTACCAAAACAAGCAGAGGGGAGGTTAGAAGAAATTTTTTCACTCAGCGAGTAGTTCGAATTTGGAATGATCTGCCCAAAAGGGCAATGAAGTCCGATTCGATAACAGCTTTTAAGAGAGAACTGGATAGGTATCTGGGGAAGATGGGTTTGCAGGGTTATGGGGAGAAAGCTGGTGATTGGGGTTAGTGAAAGTGACTTGCTCTGTCAAAGAGCCGCACAGACTCGATGGGCCGAATGGCCTCCTTCTGTGCCGTAACATTCTATGATTCTATGATTCTCTGATCTGCAAACTTGGAAATAGTGCTCTCTATGCCCAAGTCCAGATCATTAATATATATTAGAAAGAGCAGTGGTCCCAATACCGATCCCTGGGGGACACCGCTGTACACCTCCTTCCATTTCGAGAAACACCCATTAACCACCACCCTCTGCTCTCTGTCACTCAGTCAGTTCCTAATCCAAACTGCCACTGTCCCCTTAATACCGTGGGCCTCTAATTTTTTTATTAATCTCTTATGCGGTACTGTGTCAAAAGCCTTTTTGAAATCCATGTAAATAACATCCACCGCATTTCCCTCATCAACCCTCGCAGTCACCTCTTCAAAAAATTCTATTAGATTTGTTAGGCAAGATTTGCCTTTAACAAATCCATGTTGGCCGTCTCTAATTACCTCGTGTTCCTCTAAGTAGAGATTTATTCTGTCCCGGATTATGGTCTCCAGTAGTTTTCCTATTACCGAAGTTAGGCTGACTGGCCTGTAATTTCCGGGTTTGTCTTTCTGCCCCTTTTTGTAGAGTGGGGTAACATTAGCCACTCTCCAGTCTCTTGGCACCACTCCTGTGTCCAATGAAGATTGAAATATAATGGCCAAAGCCTCCGCTATTTGAACCCGTATCTCCCACAGCAACCTTGGGTGAAACCCATCTGGTCCTGGTGACTTATCAATTTTCAGCCCAGTCAATCTTTTCAGAACTTCCTCTCTGTCTATAGTAATCTGATCTATGTCCTCTACCCTGTCATCCAATACTGCGGCATTTGGGGCACCCGTTTCCATTGTGAAGACAGATGCAAAGTACTCGTTCAGTACATCAGATACGCCCTCTGCCTCCACAACAAGATGGCCGTCATTGCCTTTGATTGGCCCCACCCTACTTTTAACTAACCTTTTTTCCTTTATGTGCTTGTAAAATATTTTAGGATTCCCCTTTATGTTACCCGCTAACCTCTTCTCATGCGATCTTTTAGCCTGTCTTATCACTCTTTTAAGATCACTCCTGCATTCTCTATAATGCGCTTTGCTATCCTCAGTGTCTTGCGTCTTCCAATTGTCGTACGCCATCTTCTTCTTTTTCATCCTAGACGGAATATCCCTGGTCATCCAGGCCGGCTTGGTTCTCGCACATTTCCCTTTTTATGGGAATATATCTATTTAGACCTTGAGCTATCATATCTTTGAAGATCTCCCATTACTCATTTTACCTGCTCGTCTTACTTGCCAGTCCACCAACTCTAGGTCCCTTTTTAGCCCATCAAAATTAACCCTTTTCCGGTCAAGCATTTTCACCCTTAACTGTACTTTGTCCCTGTTCATGAGTAATCTAAATCTAATAATATTGTGGTCACTGTTACTTAGATGCTCCCCTACCGAAATTTGTTCAACCTGACCTATTTCATTCCCCAGAACTAAATCCAGCAATGCTTCCTTCCTCGTAGGATTGGAAGCATACTGCTCAAGAAAATTTTCCTGTACACAGTCTATGAATCTTTCTCCTGCCTTGCCCTTAGCGCTACTATTTTGCCAGTCTATATTGGGATAATTGAAATCCCCCATTATCACAACTCTGTTCGCCTATCTACATCTATCCGTGATCTGGTTGCAGATCTGCTCCTCTATCTCCTTCCCGCTGTCTGGTGGTCTATAGTAAACCCCCATCAGTGTAACCACTCCTTTCTTATTTCTTAACTCTAACCAGATGGATTCTGTTGTCGGGCCCTCCAGAGCCTCGTTCCTCCTCCTTTTCTTCCTTCTCTATCCTTCCTGAACACATTTTTTCCTGGAATATTTAACTCCCATTCCTGTCCTGAGCCATGTCGCGGTTACAGCCGCCACATCGTAACCCCCTACAGCCAATTGAACCTGCAGCTCATCAACCTTATTCCCTAAGCTATGTGCATTTAGGTACATGCATTTGAGGAAATTGTCCGTTTGTACCTGCCCTACACTTTCCACTTGTCGTTTTCCTCTAATCTCTAATCCATTGGATACCCATCCCCCCTCGACACCAGTTTAAATCCGCCCCTGCAGCATTTGATATTCTCTTGGCAAGGTAGCTCACCCCTGCCTTGCTTAAGTGCCGCCCATCCTCAAGGTAAAGACCCCACCTCCCCCAGTAGTGGTCCCAATTGCCCAGAAAACGGAAACCTTCTTTTCCGGACCATTTCTCCAGCCAATCGTTCATGCGCCTGATCCTTTCATTATGGTGCCTTGTTGCCCGAGGTACCGGGAGTAACCCAGAGATCACCACCTTGGATGTTCTGGACTTGAGTTGCTCCCCACCTTTTGATACTCGCCCTGGAGCATCTCAGCCCTCTTCTTACCAATATTGTGGGTCCCCAAATGGACCACGACTTTTGGATATTCTCCTTCCCCCCGAAGAATCTTGTCCATGTGCTCTGTGAAGTCCACTACCCTTGCACCAGGAAGGCAGCAAACCATCCTAGCCTCACGATTCTGATTACAGAAGATCCTGTCAGTGCCTCTTACTGTTGAATCCCCTGTCACAACTGTATTGTCCTTGTGAACCATGCGTTTGTCCTGTTAGACAGAATGTCCACTGCTGTCCTCACAAGAGGCTTCTACGCTCTCGATAGCTAATGTTGAGTACCAATTAGAGACTGGTACTCTGTTGGGGGTGCTCTGCCTTGAACAAGCCCTCTTCTTGCCCCGTCGCAGTGTCACCTAATCACTTTTAGCATGAATGAAGGGTGGCTGTGTGTTGGGCTCCTCTGGGAGTGGTCCTTTTCTTGAACTCTGACCTCCCGATAGCTCCAGTACCCCTCTCTCATAGCTCCTATACAGCGATGGACTGCTATAACTGAGTCCTAGGGTAGTGAGGGTCTCCTCCACCATGCTGTCCAGGAACCTCTCACTGTCCCTGATGGAGCGCAGTTATCTGCACCTGAGACTCCAGCTCAGCTATTCTAAGTTGGATCTTGCTCAGTTGCAGACATTTGCTGCAGATGAAGTCACCTGGGCTCAGGTTGCCTTCCATCAACTCCCACATACCACATTCCTCGCACATCACCTGCCAGGCCATTATCTATCTCCTCTTACTTCCCCTCAGATATATAACCTGCATCTACTTCTCCCTCTGCACCTAATTCCCACTCTCACCCAATTCCTTTTCACTCTGGCCTCGCCTCACTCCGGACGTAGCTCACTCTGGGCTCTCTGCTCGAGTAAGGCTCTCACAGCTATCCTATCCCCTTTATATACCCTCTGGATGCAACCAGTTTCCAATTGGTCAGCAGTAATTTAGAATTAACAATAATATTTATAATAATCCTTGCATTTGATATAGCGCCGTATCAGGTCTTCAAAGCGCTTCACAGGTTATACTGTAAAGTGAATTGACTGTATATTTTGTGGACAAAACCAGAGTATTCACAATTGTGGTAAATGTTATAGTTTTAATTGGCTGAACTCCAACAGTACCCCCAAAGAAGCTCTGAGATACTAACGCTTGACTGTTGTCAACCTGCATCTTAATTCTCCCAGATTTCAATTCAAATCACTGCAATCATTTTTTTGTTACCTTCTCCAATTAGGAAACACCGTCTCTTTATCAACAACAACAACAATTTGTATTTATATAGTGCCTTTCACACAGGGTAGCGTACCAGAATACTTGTCCAACACAGCAATAGATCTAATTATCAGAGTATAAATGTAGTTACACTCTACAAAATTCTACCTCCTCTGCCACTTGAATCTTCTGTTCCAGCACCTGGATGCATTTTTTAAATTGTTCATTTTCATCTGTAAAGATAGATATTATGAAAACGTTTCTTTCCAAACATGAAATAGTATACATATTGCAGCATTATTTAAACAAACAATTCACACCAAAGCCAAAATTAAAGTTCCTATTTAAAATAAATGTTTCCATCAAGTTCTTATCAATTTACAGTTAATTTGTTGCCTCAGGAATGGAAGTCACTCCCACACTGGAATTCGTTACTCCTCTCCTGCTTCTTCCCCATAATCAGAAGACACAGATTTATGATAATCAGCAGAAGAACCAGAGGGGAGACAAGGCTGATGGAAGCAGATTTGATAATAGCTTTCATAAGGGAATTGGATATGTACTTAAAAAGAAAACATTTGCAGGGCTATGGGGTAAGAGTGGGCTAGTGGGACTAGTTGGTAATAATAATAATCCTTGCATTTGATATAATAATAATAATAATAATAATAATCCTTGCATTTGATATAGCGCTTTTCACGTCGGGAGGACGTCCCAAAGCGCTTCACAGAATAGACTGTAAAGTGAATTGACTGTATATTTGTGGGCGAACGCGGCAGCCAATTGCGCACAGCAATGTCCCACAAACAGTCGTAGATTGAAAATGACCAATTTATTATTGTTTTTGGTTTTGGAGGGATTATTATTAGGCGTGTGGAGTAAGGAAACTTGCCCAAGGTTTCGCCCTCTGCCTGGAATTGAACTCAGGTCTCTCACTTGCAAAGCGAGTGCTCTAACCACTGAGCTACAGGACTATAGCGCTTTTTCACGTCTTCTAGACTTCTCAAAGCGCTTCACAGAATATACTGGAAAGTGAACTGACTGTATATTTGTGGGCAAAACATGGCAGCCAATTGCGAATAGCAGTGTCGCACAAACAGTCATGGATTGAAATGATCAATTTATTATTCTTTTTGAGGGATTATTATCAGGCGTGTGGAGTAAGGAAACTTACCTAAGGTTTCGCCCTGCCGGGAATCGAACCCAGGTCCCTTGCTTGCGAGGTGAGTGCTCTAACCACAGAGCTACAGGACTAAAATAGGTAGCTCTTTCAAAGAGCCAGTACAGGCACGATGGGCTGAATGGCCTCCTTCTGTGCTGTAAGACTGTATGATTCTATCCCTTGATACCCTTACCTAACATTTTACGTAACAATTTACATTTGTATAGTGCTTTTCATGTCGGGAGGACTTCCCAAGGTGCTGGACAGTCAGGACAGATCACCCCTCAACCTTCTAAACTCAAGGGAATACAGACCAAGTTTATCCAACTTGTCTTCATAATTTAACCCTTAAGGCCTATAATAATTTTAGTGAATCTGTACTGCACCCCTTCTAGGGCCCATATATCTCTCCTGAAATACGGTGCCCCAAGCTACACTAATCCCTAACCTTGCTCCCAAAGACCTCTGCCCTATCCACCCGTCGGCCAGACAGCAGATTAAAGTCGAGAGTTGACAGAGGCAATTGTACCACTACCCCACTCCCCCTGCACGTTCATGTAGGTCCCAATGCCTGTCTGGGGGCATCAAGCAGCTCAGGAATCAGTGCATTTATCACCTCCCCGCCCCGCAAATAACGCAATGTAATAAACCTTCCCCTCGCCTTCCCAAGCAGAGCCAGGCCAAGTGTCTGATGCTACTGGTATACAATGAGAACCGTCCCTCCATTGCCTTCCTGACTCCGCAGTACCACCCCTGCCACCTCACACACACAGGTCCATAGTATACAAGATTCACTATCCATAGAATGCTTGTATCTTCTGAACGAGCACGCCTAACAAGACCTGAGACACAGGGATTGAAAACAATATAGGCGCTTTATTAGAAAGGGTGGAGGGGGTTGACATTACAAACCAGAGAAAATAGCTTCACTGGCCTGAGAAAAGCAGGAAACTGAGGTTTACAATTTGGGAAGGAGAACAGGGAGTGCCGGTGCCAGTAATAGGAGGGTTTGAGAGAAGGTCAACAGATGTCAAAACATCCTAAGCAGGATTTCTCCAGCAAGGATATAGCCAATAGCTCGTGAACAGACTATTCTGGGTAGCTGCAATATCCTCAGGTTCCAGAAGATAGCACTATAGGACTAATAGAAACAATGATCTATGCATTTTTACCAGCATTGAATCATAGAATCATGTACAGAAGGAGGCCGTTCAGCCCATCGTGTCCATGCCGGCTCTTTGAAAGAGCTGCCCAATTTAATCCCCCTTCCCCACTCTGTCTCCATAGCCTTGCAAATTTGTCCTCCCCAAATATCTATCCACTCCTCTCTTGAAAGCTGTTGTTGAATCTGCTCCAGGCAATGCATTCCAGATACAAAAAACTCGCTGTGTGAAAAAAAATTCTCCTCATCTCCCCTCTAGTTCTTTTGACAACTATCTTAAATCTGTGTCATCTAGTTACTGACCCACCTGCTAATGGAAACAGTTTCTCCTTGTTCACTCTATCAAATCCCCTCATAATTTTGAACACCTCTATTAAATCTCCCCTTAACCTTCTCTGTTCCAAGAACAATCCTCGCTTCTCTGCCTCTCCTCATAACTGAAATTCCTCATTCCTGGTGCCATCCTGGTCAATCTCTTTTGCACCCTCTCCAATGCCTTGACATCCTTCCTAAAGTGTGGGGCCCAGAACTAACCACAGTCTCTAGTTGAGGCTCAAGCAGTGTTTTCTAAAGGTTCATCATAACTTCCTGACTTTTGTATTCTATGCCCCTATTTATAAAGCCTAATACCCTGTACGCTTTTTTTTAAAAACAGCTGTATCTACCTGTCCGGCGACCTTCGAAGATTTACTTATATGACCCCCAGGTCTCTCTGTTCCTTCACCCCCTTTAAGATTGTACCATCAGCTTATATTGCCTCTCCTCATTCTTTCTCACAAAATGCATCACTTTGCATTTTTCCGCATTAAATTTCATCTGCCAATTGTCTGCCCATTTTACCAGTCTGTCTAAGACTTCATGCAGTCTGCTACTATCCTCCTCACTGTTTATTACGTTTCCTCGCTTTGTACCATCTGCAAAATTGGAAATTGTGCTCCCTATACCCAGGTCCAGGTCATTTATATAGATTAAAAAGCGCAGTTGTCCTAATAGTTGCCCTGGGGTACACTGCTGTATACTTCCCTCCAGTATACAGTGGTGTACAGCAGGAAAATTGTACTGGAATAATATATAATAATCTTTGCATTTGATAAAGCGTCTTCTAGATGTCTCAAAGCTCTTCACAGAATGTACTGTAAAGTGAATTGACTGTGTATTCTGTGGACGAAACGCAGTAGCCAATTGCGCACAACAGTGGCCCATAAACAGTCGTCGACTGAATGACCAAATAATTATTTTTTATTTTTTTATTTTTTTTGAAGGGATTATTACTCCTGGAAAAGCGATGCGCCAATCAACAAGCAACTGGATTTCTACTTACTGCTAAGTAAACAGAGGCATGTGGCGTAAGAAAACTTATCCAATGTTTTGCCCTTCCCGGGAATCAAACCCAGTTCCTCTCGCTTGTGGGATGAGTGCTCTTACCACTACAACAACAACAACATTACATTTGTATAGCGCCTTTCACGTCAGTAGGACGTCCCAAAGCGCTGGACAGTCAGAGTTTTGGACCCGAGCTGGGGGTCGGGGAGGGTAGAGGGCGGGGGTGGGGGGGGGGAAGCAGGGTGATTGAAAGCACAGTCGAAGAGGAGAGTCTTGAGACGGGTCTTGAAAGAGGTAAGGGAGGGGGTAAGGTAGAGGGACTGCAGGATGGAGTTCCAGAGGATGGGGGCAGAGTGGCAGAAGGCCCACCCACCAATGATGGGACGAGCGAGGTGGGGGATATGAAGCAGGCCAGAGCCCGCTGAGCGGAGGAAGCGAGCAGGGTGGTAAGGGTTAGGAGGTCGCAGAGGTAGTGGGGAGCAAGACCATGGAGCGCTTTGACGGTGAGGACCAGGATCTTGAACTGTATCCTCTGTGTGAGGGGGAGCCAGTGAAGTTGGGCGAGGATGGGGGTGATAGGGCCACCTGGTTCGGGAGAGGACATGGACTGCAGAGTTAGTTCTGGATGATCTGCAGCCTATGGAGGGAGGAGCTAGGGAGGCCAACAAGCAAGGAGTTTGCATAGTCAAGCCTCGATGTAATGAAAGCCTGTGTGAAGGTTTCGGCGTCCTGTGGTGTTTCGGCGGCCTGTGGGCGATGTTGCGGAGGTGGGAGAAGGCAGAGTGGGTCATGGCACAGGTTTGGGTTAGAAAGAATAGTTGAGGAAGTTTGAGCGCAAGTGGCATATTTTGCACCAGATAATTGTGAAAGAGCAAAAGAACACTACAAGTGGAAGAGACCACTAAAGTCTAATTGACCAACTGTTTCTTGAGCACTCGTCTCGCAAGCGATTTGATTCCCAGGCAGGCTGAAACGTTGGACAAGTTTCCTTACACCACACGCCTGTTTACCTCGCAGTAAGTAAGAACCCGGTTGTTAGTCGATTTTGGCAGATAGTTTTTCCATGGGTAATAACCCCTTCAAAAAAAGAAAATGCTGTCACTCAATCCACGATTGATTGTGAGACGCTGCTGTGCACCATAGGCTGCCACGATTCATCCACAAAATACAGTCAATTTAACTTACAGCATATACTGTGAAGCACTTTGAAACATCTCGAAGACATGATAAGGCGCTATATCAAATGCAAAAATTATTATAATTATCAAAAAGGATTTTGAAGTCGGGGAAAGAAGACGCAAAGCAAAAGCATTTTAAGAGAGTTCCAAAGCATGTGGTATAACAGCAAAAAGCTTCGCCAGTGATGATAAGACTAGCAAGCTGATAGTGAATAATTACCTATAACATAAATAGAAAAACACAAAACTTTCATTTACATTTTTTTCTGAATATTGCGGCAGTGCAAGCTAGAACCAGAAATTCACTAGGGATATCTGAATGGAAATCCCAGTCCCAAACAGCAGTTACCTAGTCATTAACCGTGTATTTATAATAATCCTTGCATTTCATATAGTGCCTGATCACATCTTCGAGACGTCTCAGAGTGTTTCCCAGAATATATTGTAAAGTGAATTGACTGTATATTTTGTGGGCGAAATTGTGACATCTGGGAAAGCTTAGCAGAAAGAGGAAGCAGATTCCTTAAATTAAAGAAAACACATTCTCTTTATCACCTTTTGAATCTATTGGATCAAAGATGCTCAAACTTATTTACCTCTGACGTCACATTGGTTCTGGATGGTGCTCTGTAGTCCTTCTATCATTCTGTGCAGCATAGTACATTCTGAAAGGCAGATGTGAAAATATAACATTCAATAATTTCAAAATTTGTGGACTACACCAAATTGGGGGAGTAGTTAATACAGAGGAGGAGGGCAACAAATTACAGCAAGACATTAATAAACTTGCTGAGTGGGCATTTAAATGGCAAATGCATTTCAATAAAGAAAAGTGTGAGGTGGTATATTTTGGGAATAAGGAATAAGGAAGTCACAAGGATGATCCCAGAACTGAAAGGTTATACCTATCAGGAAAGGCTGAACATACTTGGACTCTTCTCTTGAAAAGAGGAGGGTAAGGGGTGACCTGACAGAGGTCTTTAAAATGATGAAAGGTTTTGTTAGGTTCGACATAGGGAAGATGTTTCCACTTGTGGGGGAGACCAAAACCAGGGGCCATCAATATAAAATTAGTCACAAATAGATCAAATAGGGAAGTTAGAAGAAATTTCTTCACACAGAGTAGTGGGAATGTGGAACATGCTGCCACAAGGAGTTGTGAGGCAAATAGCATAAATGTATTTAAGGGAAAGCTCGAGAGGTACATGAGGGAGAAAGGGATAGAAGGTTCTACTTGAAGGCTTAGTTGAGAAAGGACAGGAGGAGGCTCATGTGGAACATAAACAACGGCATAGGCCAGCTGGGCCGAATGGCCTGTTTCTGTGCTGTATATTCTAATGTATTCTTATGTATTAACATCATTCTACCTTGCCAGAAACAATCCCGACAGACATACAAAACTTCTTTGTGCAGATTAATCCCAGAAATTCAAACAGTACAAGTGATTCTGTAGCTTGTGGAGTCCTGTAGCTCAGTGGTTAGAGCACTCGCTTTGCAAGTGAGAGACCTGAGTTCAATTCCAGACAGGGCGAAACCTTGGGCAAGTTTCCTTACTCCACACGCCTAATAATAATCCCTCCAAAAAAAAAAAACAATAATTAAATCGGTCATTTTCAATCTACGACTGTTTGTGGGACATTGCTGTGCGCAATTGGCTGCCGTGTTCGCCCACAAATATACAGTCAATTCACTTTACAGTGTGTTCTGTGAAGCGCTTTGGGACGTCCTCCCGACGTGAAAAGCGCTATATCAAATGCAAGGATTATTATTATTATTATTATTATTATTCACTCGGTCAATCTCCTGCAGATTGTAGAGTTCTGTAGTGTGTTGGTTAGAGCACTCGCTTCGCAAGCAAGAGGACCTGGGTTTGATTCCCAGGCAGGGCAAAACGTTAGGCAAGTTTCCTTACTCCACACGCCTCTGGTTACCGAGTAGTAAGTAGGAACCTGGTTATTAGTCGATTGGCGGATCACTTTTCCGGGGGTAATAGTAACTCAATCCACAACTGTTTGTTGTACACTGCTGTGCGCAATTGGCTACCGGGTTTCTCTAAGACGTGATAAGACGTTATATCAAATACCAGGATTATTATTGTTTATCATTAAGATGATGTTACATGCATTCCAACTTGCTTTTCACAGCTAAGCCTGCATCATCAGTCCCAGACCTGGACAAACGGATTCAAAGCAGAAACTGCAGCTTCCATGTGACTGCAACCTGTACATTTAAAAGTAATTTATTTTTTGTTCGTGTAATCACTCTCAAGATGATAGTAGGCTGATGATGGAAGGTGTGATACTGACCAGTATGAACCATTCCTAATTGTAAGAATTCCTCTTAAAAGTCTAATCTCTATTTTTCCGCTTGGAATATCAGCTCCTTGGGTTTAAGTACAGACTGGCTTGAAACAGGTAATCTCAAATTGGGTTATGTTTCACTGATTCAGCCTTAAGAGGTGAAAAATATTAATAATCTCACCAATTTTACATTTTCAAATATAAAAGTTTAATTAAAAATGCCTAAAGATAATATTAATCCTGGTATTTGATATTGAACCTTGTTGTTGAGACAACTCAAAGAACTTCACAGGATTTGACAGTGACTACATTTTTTTTAAGGGATTATTACCCATGGAAAAGCGATCCACCAATTGATGAACAACCAGGTTCCTATTTATTGCTAGGTAAAGAGTTATGTGGAGTAAGGAAACTTCCCTAACATTTTGCTCTGCCTGGGAATCAAACCCGGGTCCTCTCACTTGCGAGGCGGGTGCTCTACAACAAGAACAACAACAAGATTCCATTTATAAAGCGCCTTTCACGTCAGGAGGATGTCCCAAGGCGCTGCACAGTTGGGTCATGACCCGAGCAGGGGGGAAATGGTCAGGGTGAGGGGAGGGGAGGGAGCGAGGAGGGGGGAAATGGTCAGGGTGAGGGGAGGGAAGGGAGGGGGCGAGAAGGGGGAAGAGAGTCGAGAGGGGAGCTGAAGGCACGGTCAAAGAGAAAGGTTTTGAGACCGGCCTTGAAGGAGGAGAGGGAGGAAGCGGCGAAGGCACTGGAGGATAGAGTTCCAGAGCCTCGGGGCTGAGAGGCTGAAGGCCCGACCACCAATGGTAGGGCGATTGGGGCGGGGGACGTGGAGCAGACCGGAGCCAGAGGAACGGAGGGTACGGGCAGGTAGGTAGGGGGATAGTAGGTTGGAGAGGTAGGGGGAGCAAGGCCGTGAATGGCCTTGTAGGTGAGGATGAGGATCTTGAAATCAATCCTCTGGGGGATGGGGAGCCAGTGGAGACGAGCGAGGGTGGGAGTGATAATCACTAAATCACTAATCACTAAACTACAAGACACCACATTGAATCTTTGTCTTAAGGCTGAAACCATGAGAAATTTCAGGAGAAAACTCAGAAGGTAGCACCAAGCAGCAAAATTTTTTTAAAAGCAACAGACCCAGAAAACAGAGTAATATCTGTACAGGTACTAAGAGCAACATGTGTTTGACTGGTTCAGATCGTACCTCTCACACCCCCTCCACTTCATCTCCACAAATGGTTTCTCCTCCAATCCCCGCACCGTCTCGTGCGGTGTTCCTCAAGAGCTCTGTCCTTGGTCCCCTCCTCTTCAATCTATATGCTCCCTCTTGGTGATATCATCCACAGACACGGGGTCAACTCCCACATGTATGTGGATGACCCCCAACTCTCCCTCTCTGCCCCCCCCCTTGACTCCAGGACCCACTGCTGTCCTGACAGAATGTCTGTCAGACGTCAAGTCCTGGATGAGAGCAAACTTTCTACAGTTGAACGTCAACGAGACCGAGGCTCCTGATTGGCTCCCGTCAGCGCCTCCACACCTCAGGCCCTGACAGCATCACCATCCCTGGGGCTCACTCCCCCTCACTGCGCCAGTCCCGAACCTTGGGGTCTGGTTTGACCCTCAACTATCCTTTCTACCCCACATCTGGGCCATGTTCCACTCTGCCTTCCCCACCTCTGCAACATCACCCGGCTCCGCCACTGTCTCACACCGCAGCCCCCGAGAACCTCATACACGCTTTAATTACATCGAGACTCAATTATGCAAACTTCTTGCATGTTGGCCTCCCAACTCCTCCCTCCACAGGCTGCAGATCATCCAGAACTCCGCAGCCCATGTCTTCTCCTGCACCAGGCTCCGTAACCCTATCATCCCCATCATGGCCATGGCTTCCCATCACACAAGAGTATATAGTTCAAGATCCTGGTCCTCACCTTCAAAGCCCTCCATGGTCTTGCTCCCCCTGACCTCTGCCACCGCCTAACCCCTTACCATCCTGCTCGGTCCCTCTGCTCAGCGAGCTCCAGCCTGCTTCACATCACCCGACTCGCTCGCCTCACTATTGATGGGTGGGCCTTCTAACACTCTTCCCTCACCCTCTGGAACTCCATCCCACAGTCCCTCCACCTTGCCCCCTCCCTTGCCTCCTTCAAGACCCATCTCAAGACCCTCCTCTTTGACCATGCTTTCGATCTCCCTGCTTCCCCTCCCCCTTGCCAATCCCGACCCCCTGCTTGGGTCCGAAACTCTGTCTGTCCAGCGCCTTGGTACGTCTTCCCGACGTGAAAGACACTAAACAAATATAATTTTACTGTTGTTGTTATTGTTGTGTTAGCCTAATCCAATAAAAGTTATTTATTTTGCACAACAGTCACTGCTACAGTATGTGAAATATCCAACATTTCTTTAACTCTGCCAAACATGAGGTTTCATAGCACAAGTAATTTTTTTTCTGTTTGTGCAGAAAATCCAGATTTATGGGTCATATTGTCTCGCCAGTGTATCTTGCATTCAATTCACAAAATATTCTACTCTAGAACGATAGAAATTTACAGCACAGATGAATGCCCTTCTGTCTATCCTATCAGATCCAACTCCCTCAAGAACAATCCTTTCAGTTCTATTTAACTACCCTTTCCCCATTTCGCGCCTTATCATGTCTTTGAGATGCTCAAAGCGCTTCATAGAATATACTGTAAAGTGAATTGACTGTATATTTTGTGGGCAAATAGCAGCAGTCAATTGTGCACAGCAGTGTCCCCACAAACAGTCATGGATTGAGTGACTAAACTATTATTATCTATTTAAAATCTTTCTTCAAGTCACAATTCAAATAACGCTTTTAATATACCAAATACTACTTGTATTGTAAACTTCTTCTTACCTTCCTTCATACAGCTTTCCTTAGTTTGTGCTAGTTTCAGCAGGCGTTTTGTTTCCTCCAGCTGAATGTCCAATAGATTGGTCCACCCCTGAGTTTTAGCTATTTTCTGAGAAGTGTAAAGAAAAAGGTTGTCAAAGCATTGGGGTAAGTATCAAGAGCTTACTGCAATCAAACCTATAAAAGGTTCTTTTTTGTGTCTAAATTTTCTGATATAAACTGTGAGCTGGCATATATTGTGATGGGGAAAAAAAAGGATCAAAACTCTGGTAGCTAAATTGGATTCCTGTAGGGTAGTTGTTAGAGCACTCGCCCCATAAGCGAGAAGACCTGGCTTTGACTCCCGAACAGGTGAAACGTTGAGCAAGTATCCTTACTCCACACGCCTCTATTTACCTAGTGGTAAGTAGAAACCCAGTTGTTAATTGATTGGGGGATCACTGTGAATGATTAGCTGCTGCGTTTTCCCCACTATACAGTAACTACATTTTACAGTATATCCTGTGAAGCGCTTTGATACGTCTCAACAATGTGATAAGGCACTAGATCAAAGGTGCAAAGGAGATTTACCAGGATGGTACCAGGAATGAGGGCCTTCAGTTAACAGGAGAAGCTAGAGAAACTGGGATTATTCTCCTTGGAGCAGATGGTTCAGAGGAGACTTAATAGAAGTTTTCAAAATTATGGGGTTGATTCGATAGGGTGAACATGAAGAAACTATTTCCACTAACGGATGGGTCGGTAACCCGAGGACACCGATTTAAAACAGTTGTTAAAAGAAACAGAGGTGGGGGGTGAGAAGAAATATTTTCACACAGCGAGTTGTTGGGATCTGGAATGCAATGCCTGAAAGGGTGGTGGAAGCCGATTCGATCACAACTTTAAAGAGAGAAGCAGATAATTATTTGGGGCAGTTTGCAGGTTTTATGGGGAGAGAGCGGGGGAGTGGACTTGATTTGGATAGCTCTTTTAAAAGACACACGAATGACCTCCTTCTGTGTTGTATAATTCTATGATTCTTTGATCAAATGTGAGGATTATTATTATTAATGCATTCAAATTGTGTTTTTTCAGTGCCAAATCTCTGGTGGTAGCAAAACCTGACAGCTAGAGTACTGTTGCTCTAAGAAAGTATTTCTCAATATATGCTAAAGTAAATAAAGTTCCACAAGCTAAATAATCTACTTCCAAACTACTTAAAACCAAATGTCCGACAAAAATAAAATACATTTGCCGCAGATAGTTACCCACAGACTGTAATCATATATGAGAAAGAATTGTTGGCTTGCTCAGCCAAACGAATCTACAAAAGATTTACTTTGTCAAGAATGAAATACAAAGAACCTCATGATAATAATAAAAATCCTTGCATTAGATATAGCACCTTATCATGTATTCAAGACGTCTCAAACCGCTTCATAGAATATACATCAGAATACAGCACAGAAACAGGCCATTTGGCTCACCCATTCTTTGCCGGTGTTTATGCTTCACATGAGCCTTCTCCTGCACTTCCTCAACTAAGCTTCAAGCATAACCTTCTATTCCTTTCTCCCGCACATACCTAGCTAGCTTTTCCTTGAATACATCCATGCTATACTGTAAAATATACTGTAAAATGAATTGATGCTTATTTTGTGGACAAAACAAGGCAGCAGTGTCCCACAAGCACTCATGTATTGAGTGACCACTTTTTTTTTAATATATATTTTTTAAAGGGATTACTACCTCCCGACGTGAAAGGCGCTCTATAAATGGAATCTTGTTGTTGTTGAAAAGCGATCTGCCAATCGACTAACAACCAGTTTCCTATCTGCTGTTAGGTAGGAGACGTGTGTGGAGTAACAAAACTTGCCTAAGGTTTTGCCCTGTTTGGGAATCACATAAAGGTTCTCTCCCTTGCGAGGTGAGCGCTCTAACCACTAAGAGGTACCAAATCAATCAGAATGTTTTGTATATTGCTAATTAAATGTGTCCATACAAACTGCTCCACTTCCCCCACCTTGCCTGCCCCACCATCAGCGGCCAGGCCTTCAGCCTCTCTGCCCCCACCTTTTGGAACTCCATCCCACAGGTCCTTCACCTTGCTCACTCCCTTGCCTCCTTCAAGGCTTGTACCAAGACTCAATCAATTTTATCTAGGGGATCATTGGCCATGACACCGGGAGAAACTCATTTATTACTATTATTTAATTTTATTATTAAAACTTGCCCAACATTCGCCCTGCCTGGGAATCAAACCCAGATCCTCTCGCTTGCGAGGCGAGAGAGCTATCCTTTACGTTATGGGACTCCAAAGCACATTGAGAAAACACTGATTAGATTAAATGCTTCCAATCAAGCCACCCTGACATCTAGTTGAACAAGGGCCATCTGGTGTAGGCCCAGCAATGCTACTACTGAGAGTGCCCCACCCCCTCTCCCACCTCTCAAGACCTTCCCCTTCGACTGGGCCTTTGGTCATCCTCCCACTTTGGCAAGTTCTATCCCATCCATGGAGTATGTAATATTCCATGCCAATATATATTACAAAAGTAGAGGACACCAAACAATCCAACATCAGAGTTTAAAGCGGTCACCTAGTAGACAAGCAGGAAAATAATAATAATCCTTGCATTTGAAATAGTGCCTTATCACATCTTGGAGATATCTCAAAGCACTTTGTGAATTGACTGTATATTTTGTGGGCAAAACATGGCATCCAATTGCGTACAGCAGTTTCTCACAAACAGTCATGGATTGAGTGACCAAATTATTATTATTATTCAGATTTTTTTGGAAGGGATGATAACTCCGGAAAATCAATCTGCCAATCGACTAATAACCGGGTTCCTATTTACTGCTAGGTAAACGGAGGCATGTTGAGAAGGAATCGCTTGCGAGGCAAGTGCTCTAACGAATATACTACAGGACTCAACAGAACTAATGTGACTAATCCTAATGTGTATTCCTTTTTCCCATTAATCCCATGGGCCTGAACCTTGTGCAATAGCCTTTTGTGTGGCACTTTGTCAAATGCCTTTTTAAAATCTAAATATACTACATCTACTGGTTCCCCCCTATCTAACCTGCTGGATACATTTTCAAAAAACTCTAAAAGAGAGAGTGCAATCAGAGAAACTAACAATACACAAACTCCAGGAACTTGATGTACCTGACAAGCAGGCTATTGCAATAGTTGAGATACAGAAAAGATATAGACTTGCAGGCAGAGAACTCAAGGAGCACAAACCCAGCTGACAAATGCAGAAACTGTGGCTTTACAGAGGAAGACAGTGACTCAATACAATACAAAATTGCATTGTATAAGCTCCTTTCACATCGGGTAGACATCCCAAGGCGCTGGATAGTCAGGTGGGGGGTGGGGGGGGGAATCAAGAATGGTGTAGGGCTGGATGGATAGAAGGGTGGCCGAAGGCACGGTCAAGGAGGAGGGTCTTGAGACGTGCGTTGAAGGAGGCAAGGGAGGGAGCGAGGCAAAGGGATTGTGGATGTGTGGGATTCTGTAATTAATGTGTTAAATTATATCTCAAATTATATTTGCGATATTTGTTTGTATTTGAAACATATGATCAATCTCATATGGAGGGGACCTGATTGTGATTAGCTTCGAAGAAGATCCTTTCTCACGGAGGATAAGCAAGACTGATTATAAACAACAAACTGTATTCATTCCTTATCAGTCATTTTCCCTTTTAACCCTTTTGTAAAGGTTAATTTAAATTTGTGATCCTGTAGAGAACTAAGGACTGACACAAATGTTGTACAAAAATATAGATGTTTATTCATTCAGATTAGTAATAGTTATAAGTAATTAAATTAATACATTACAATAATACTTACATATCGATGCATAGTTTACAACGATTTAAGTTGACCTAACCAAATGCTGCGGAAGAGACAGGGTAGCAATCTCCAATGTCCATTTTAATGTTTCTTCTTTAATCGTTTCCTTCAATTCTTTCTTCTCTCTTATAGTTACAGACCAAATTTCCATGAAAAAATTACTGATAAGGACTGAAAAGTTTATTGTTTATAAACAGTCTTTTGTTTCCGCTCCTTGAGAAAGAATCTAAAATAGTCACAACCCGCTCCCCTCATATGAGATTCATTATGGGTTACACCTGAACAGGACTGGGACCAATGTCCTCACAGGGAGGTTTAAACTAATTTCGAGGGGGGAAGGGAATCAGGATGTAGCATCAGAGAGGACAGATAAGTTACACAGAAAGCTGGGAGAGACGAATAGCAATGTAATAAGGAATAAAACAACATCATTAGGTTTAGAGTTCTTATGGAAAGGGACAAGGAGCAATCAAGGGTGAAGATACTCAACTGGAAGAGGCTAAGTGAGGGACCTAGACAAGACGGCTGGAAAGAAAGATTGGCAGGTAAAACAACGAAAGAGCAGTGGGAAGTCTTCAAGGATGAGATAGCTCGGGGACAGAATAAATACATTCCCACAACAGGGAAAAGTAGGGCTTCCAAACCTCCCTGGATGATGAAGGTAATTGTATCTAGAATAAAGCAGAAAAAGGAGGCGTATGACAAATGTCAAACCCAAGATACAGAAGACAACCAAATAGAATATAGGAAGTGCAGAAGAGTTTGAAAAAGGAAATAAGAGCGGCAAAAAGATTATACGAGAAAAGGTTAGCGGGTAACATTAAAGGGGATTCTAAAATATTTTACAAACATATCAAGAAAAAGACTAGTCAAAGGTAGGGTGGGGCCAATTAAGGACCAAGGGGGAGATCTTATTGTGGAGGCAGAGGGCACAGCTGATGTACTGAATGAGTATTTTGCATCGGTCTTCACAAAAGAAGTGGATGCACCAAATTCCACAGTATCGGAGGAGAGGGCAGAGGAAATGGATAGGATAAGTATAAACAGAGAGGAAGTACTGAAAAGGTTGACTGCGCTGAAGGTGATAAGTCTCCCGGTCCGGACGGGATGCAGCCGAGGTTACTATGGGAGGCACAGGTACAAATAGCGGAGGCTTTGGCTACAATTTTTCAATCTTCGTTGGACACAGGAGTGGTGCCCGAGGACTGGAGAGTGGCCAATGTTACTCCTCTGTACAAAAAGGGACAGAAGGACAAACCTGGG